GAAAATCCAAAGCCTGCCTAAATAGTCTCAAGCCCAGGTTAAGATTTTGCTACTGTGGGAGAATGTTTGCTTATGCTGCCATTATTTCAATAGAACCAACTGTACGAGCGGAGCTGATGGAACAGGTGCCTCATATTGCATTGTTTTGTCAAGAAAACCGGCCTTCAATACCATATGCTTTTTCCAAATTTTTACTACCTATTGTGGTTAGATATCTTGCAGATCAGAATAATCAGGTAAGAGTACCATTTACATGTTCTTAAAAGAAATGCATGTAGTGTAATGTGTGTAGAATGGCCTAGCTTAAGTGGTCTTGTTGGAATGCCTTTTTCTTCTTAGCTTCATTATTCTGCTATTTAGAAATGACCATTGGTCTTAGACAAGATGAGTTAACAGTTTGACAAATCTAATAGATCTCTTCATGCCATTATAGATAATACCTAGTAAATGCACTCCTATTTGGTACCCTCCTAGGCGTCCCTTAATGTTTATTACTTTGTGAGACATCTTTTACAAGAATGGCTTTTGTGTTCTACTTAATATGTTATAACACAGTCTACCAAGTTCTGTCTTTGTAATAGTTGAAGAAAATAGCCACAAATATTTATTTGCAAAGTTTTGCCAATTATAGATCCTTTTGAGACATGAAGTCTTTAAGTTTGTAAAAATGAAACGGAGAGCTTTTCATATCATATATGTACATTGTTTATATTGCTATTTTTTTCCTAGGTGAGGAAAACAAGTCAGGCAGCTTTGTTGGCTCTGCTGGAGCAGGAGCTTATTGAGCGATTTGATGTGGAGACCAGAGTATGTCCTGTCCTCATAGAGCTGACTGCGCCAGATAGCAACGATGATGTGAAAACAGAAGCTGTGGCTGTAAGTGGAATGCTGTTTTTCCATTCAGGCAAAACTAGACTGATAGGAGGTGCTCACTAAAGGTTAAGTTGGCTTATTTTGTTTAGTATGTGTCTATAAAAGTAGCTACAAATCATTACATTTGAAACATAATCAGGCCTAGTAAGGTGCATAAGGGCTTGCAAAAGAAAAGTGTATTTTCACACAATAAGAAAATAATGAGTAACTAAATCCATTATGTCAAAGTGGAGAAATAAAATGGTCACTATCAGTGCACTTAAAAACAAAATAAAAATCCCTGTATTGGCTCCTGCCCTTGACAGTAGTCTTCGGGGGAGAGATAGTCAGCCAAGTACTTTTACTATGATATATGATATTAATGACGATTATTAGAAGAATATACAGATTGTTAAGTCATTATGCACCTAATAAAGTCAAGTGTAATACTAAATTTTGGGGTTTTTGGACATGGTTTGCAAATATTCTGAATACTTGAGAATCATCATAGTTACAACATGAGTTAGACTACACTAATATCTGTTGTGATTCACATCTGTGGTTCCTGAGTTCAGGTAGTAAGAATTCTGATGGTATATTGGTAAATTCATCAGAAAATATATTCAAATCTAAACTAAAGTGATATAGTTACATTTTTGTTGATATAAAAAAAATTACACCAAAATTTTTTACTTTTTCTAGATCATCATTAATGAGATGAATTAGATGATCTCTCTAGTCTCTTTCCCTTGAAAAACTTTCTTTTCTTTTCTTTTTTCGAGTTAGAGTCTTACTCTGTCACCCAGGCTGGAGTACAGTGACATGACCATGACTACCACAGCCTCGACTTGCTGGGCTCAGGCAATCCTTTTGTCTCAGCCTTCTAAGTAGCTGGAACCACAGGCTCATGCTACCATATCTGACTTATTTTTTTCTTATTTTTGTAGCGAACAGGTCTCACTATGTTGCCTAGGCTTGTCA